GTAAAAAGAATTAATCTACTTTATTGGATGAAATCCCAACAATGAACAATCAGAAGCGAAAAATCAAAAACAACAAACCAATGGAATTGGCATTTTTAAAACATGAACTTACGACAAAGGACACAAATTCAAGGAGAGTACAACTCAAAAAAACGCTAAATAAGAAAATTTAACTATTGTGACAACGAAAAACCACCAATTGTCTGGCACACACAATTAAATGATCTTCTCCAAATTTTTAAATTTATCGTTAGCACTTTCTACCAATACGAGACATTCAATTTATATTATCGTGGATGAAGTAATACGACTAAGCAAGCACTGTATAGATCATAGATCATTAATATTATAAGGGTAATAAATATTCAACTGACTATTTCGCTTATATGCTGGAATACCAAAAAAATAAAAAACTATTTCGCTTATATGCTGGAATACAAAAAAAAAAAAAAAAAAATTGTGACCAGAAATAAATGAGAGACGACAGTGGCTCGCCGAGTATAATTCCTTAGCGCTCTCTTTTTGCGAATTTTTTTCCAAAAGCACATCTCTCGAATTCTTTTTGCACTTGCACTTTGCAGTCGGAAAACAAAGTCAAGCAAATTCTCAAACTTGCATTCAAAATCATGCATTAGAATAATTCATTTGACACAATTTAGTTTAGAAAAGAGAATGACAGATAACAAAAATAATGATAATAATTATGCGGAATGTGAAAGCATATAGAAGAACCTAGTGTTTTAGCCATTAAAGTTATACAAGAGACGTGATTAGAGAAATGACTGGTGACAATTGGCTAATAAGGAGTTGTTTGAAGGTGTTTTATGTTTTTTAAGAGTTGTGAGTTGTGACTGTTGAAGAAGAATATGAAGCTTAGAAACTGATTTCTTCTGAATAGTCGTTTGACAGAATGTTGGCGTCTCCTTCGAGGCATTAGTTCTTTTATTTAAATACAGTATAAATAAGAAGGGCAATTTAGTAATCTAACTTTTTGATTTTAGAGTTCACACTTTTAATATAACTAGTTTCTACGTACGTGTTTTGCACGTAGATGTTTAGTTAATTATTTATATGGGAAATGATTATATCTCAATTAAAGTAGAAAAAAATGCGACATAATAATTGAACTCAAAATGTAAATATAATCGATTTAGTTGAATTAGTTAAATAGTATAATGTGTTGGTTATTCTATTATGACCAAAACTCTCGTTATCGATATTGATATCCCTTTTATAAACGAAACATCTTGTGTCAATACTGATATCCCTCTTAAAAGTAAAATATATAATAGTCTGTATCCGAAACATATTGTAGAAAATACAGTCCAATTTTAAAATTGTTTTACAATGCGCTTTATTTTTATTATCATTTTAAAACACAAACATATTAGAAATTACTGTTACAAAACTCTTAAGTTTATGCTGATTCAATGTGTAAGACGTGATCATCTCTTTGAAAATCTGCTATTTGTTACTGTATGTGTAAATGCATTTTGACCTAGTTTTTTTTTTCCTTTTAAGTTCTGTTTTTTTCCTTTTAAATTTAGTTATTACAATTCTTTTTTGGTTATAGAGTGAATACTTTTCATGCTATTTATTTTGATTCTTTTTTGAATTGCAAGTTTCCAATAGATTAATAATATTTGTCCACCTGAATTTCTGTTAGATTTTTTATCACAAACTTGTCTCGCAATAATAAATAAAATATTACTTTATCATATCTAATAAGGTTGATTCACTTAATTAAAAATAAAAACATAATTGCATAAAAAACTACAAAATGCAGAAACCAACACTAACTTAGGTTTGCAGATTGTATAATAACAGAAAATAGAATCACATGAATTTTATCCTTTCTAGAAGTAAAATATCAATACATTTATCATAAAATAGTAAAATATGAAAAGAGTAGAAGTCAATGTAAGTCCAAATAGATATAAGAATTACCAAGCTGCGACATCGATGTAGTACAACGAAAAAAAAGAAGCAAAATCCAACAATTTGGATAGTTGAGAAAATACAAGTAACATAGAATCAATTCAAAAGTATTCAGTAATCTAATAATAATAATGCAAAATCGAACAAAATAGAGCATAACCCATTTACTTATCGAAATATTTCGAATCTCCATATAATTACCTCAAATTATTCAACGTTTAATCCTTATATGCGACTAATCCTAAATGAAAACAATATTTCTTTTTTAAAAAAAAAAATTGAGATCAAGAATATTATTCGAGAAGTTTGCCAAGTTTGTTCCCTTCTTTGGAAAGTACCACAATTTAAAACCAGTACTCCTTAAAAAGTCTATATATGATGAAGAATATAATATTGTGTAATGACTTCTTTGATAGTGTTTGACTTATCCTTTTTCTATGAATTCATGCAATAATTTTATATCCTATTGAACAATAAATATAATTCAAATAGAAAAGGAAGATCAAGTTATCTAACTTCTGATAATATTAGATCACGTTGGCGGAACGTCCATTTATTAATTTAATTAAGTTCAAACAGAAAACATCACCACTTTGTTCTCTAAAATCCTAATGATATTAAATCATGACCTAAAGATGAAAAATCATGCATCTTTGTGGAGACGAACACGTAAAGATGGCCAATATATTTGTATCTCTTATTTGGAACTTTGAAGAATTTATGGAGGATTAATAGAAGAGGAAAGACGGAACTTGCAAGTAGAAAGATATAGTTAGAGGGAGACAATCTCGCTATGAAATTAAGAGAATTAGTAACCAAATAATTGCTTAAAATTAATGATAGAACAAAACTTATGATATACGGGCTTATTAGCATTCCCGGAAATATAGGTATACATTAAGATCTTCCTCCTCAACTTTCTCGATGAAAAAGGGTCACATCTACAAGATAAAATCGTTAGTAGGTCAAGCACTTTCTTGTTACTCTTCGAAGTTACTATGATCTGAATTGGAAAAATGGAACTTCTACGTTAAATTATATTTACTTTTTAATTTTGTTTTAAAAAACAACATTAAGAAAGCAAACATATAGATCAATATCATATTATTTTAAAAAGAAAGCGATACTGATTCACCTCTATCATAGTGCAACGATCCGACTTGTCGTTTTAAGAAATTATGCCCCATCCAGTGACTTAAAGTCTCGAGAAGCTTTACAATATATATTATGACCCGCGTGTGTGGTCGAGTTTGGTTTTCGGAAGATTCGGAATTTAATTTAAAGAAATATTCTCATTTTGAAGCTTAAATGGAAAGAGTTGACTGGGGAGTTAATTTCTGAGCAAACGACCCTGGAATGGAATTTCGATGATGGCAATAGTTTCGTATAATGATTTCGGACTTAGGCGTATGTTCGGATTTGGATTTGGAAGTCCGTAGGATAATTCGACACATTTTGGCGAAAGTTGAAAAATAGAAGATTTTGGAAAAAAGAAATCCTACTGGCGAATGAATTTTTGATATCGACGTCGGATTTCGATTCTGAAAATAGGAATAGCTCTCTTACATCAATTATGACTTGTGTGCAAAATTTGAAGTCATTCTGGATTGATTTGATACATTTCGGCGCAAAATATAGAAGTTGGAAGAATTGAAAAACTTATAATTCGATTCGATGTGCGATTCGTAATTTCGGCATTGTTTGACGTGGTTTGAAGCCTCGACTAAGTTCGTATTGTATTTTGGTACGTGTTGGTATAATTGGTTGAGGTCCCGGGGGCCTCGGACGAGTTTCAGATGGTTAAACGGACCAAAAATTGGACTTGAAGATCTGTTGGAAATCTGCCACTGGTTTCATCGCATCTGCGATGAAATTGATCGCAGATGCGACATCGCAAATGCGAGATTCAAGTCACAGAAGCAAAGATGGAAGGGCATGGCAGTGGTCGCAGGTGCGAAGAAAACCCCGCACTTGCGGAAGCGCAGAAGCGGGCAGAGAAGGTGCAGAAGCGGAGGGGCATCGCAGGTGCGCGTGACACATCGCAAAAGCGATTCCCACAGAAGCGGAAAAGCTTCCGCAAATGCGATGGTCGACTGGGCAGTGGCCTTCGCAGAAGCGAGATTTCGCTCGCAAAAGCGAGCACGCATGTGCAAAAATTCGTCCACAGGTGCGAAACTGGGCAGAATGTTAAGGACCAAAAATGGTCATTTCGCCATTTTTCGATTGAGATTTTGGAGCTCGATTTTTGGGCGATGTTGGAGGAGTTCTTCAAGACTTTGACTTGGGTAAGTGTTCTATATCCTAAAGTGATTATATTTCATGAATCTATGATTATATTCAGCGTTTAGTTCGGATTTAAATGGAGGAAATCAAGATTTTGGTAAAATCTTCCAAAAATAAAATTTTAAGATTTGGAAGTCGAGTTGTTATTGGAATTCAATAAAATTGGCATGGTTGAACTCGTATCGGAATGGGTGTTCGTATTTCATAAAAATTATGTCAAGTTCCGAGAGGCGGGTCCCGCGTTGACTTTTATTGACTTTTTGGAATAAATTTTTAAGTCGACGTATTGTTATCCGGAATTATTTTCGATGAATTTTAATAAAGTTATACAATTAATTTGGATAGATTTGAGCGGTCCGGAGGTCAATTCAAGCAAGAAGGCGATTTTGAAATATCGGCATAATTTCAAAGAGGTAAGTATCACTACTAGAAAATAATTTTATTGGAACGGTTATTGTGCAACGGTTTTGTAACTGTTATAATAGATCATATATTGGAATGGTTTTAACCGTCCCAATAGAGTCAAAAGGCTTTTGGGATACTTTTGAAGAATAACTGTTCCAATAGTATAATAACCGTTACCAAAAGTAAATATATGGAGACGGTTTGTAAAGAAGATACGATAGAGTTACCTCCGGGAACGGTTTGATAAAATAAAAGTATATTGGAACGGTTTGCTTTTCCCTCCTTACTTTCCCTCCTACATATTTATTAAAAAAACAAAATAAATGACCCCACTAATGTTTTAATAACTCTTTAATATAGAAATGTTCCGTCACTCTCTCTAAACTCTCAAAACCTTGGAGACCGTCTCTCTCAGCCTCAACCTAGAACACATCACCATCGACGAACTCTGTCGGCCAGCTCCGGCGAAGGACGACAACTGCCGGTGAATGACGACCAGTTTCGGCTAACATACGAGCAATCTCCGAGGTAGGATAAACCTTGAAGACATCGTCTCTCTCAGCCTCAACCTAGAACACATCACCATCGACGAACTCTGTCGGCCAGCTCCGGCGAAGGACGACAACTGCCGGTGAATGACGACCAGTTTCGGCTAACATACGAGCAATCTCCGAGGTAGGATAAACCTTGAAGACATCGTCTCTCTCAGCCTCAACCTAGAACACATCGACCTCACCATCGACGAACTCTGTCGGCCAGCTCCGGCGAAGGACGACAACTATCGGTGAATGACGACCAGTTTCGGCTAACATACGAGCAATCTCCGAAGTAGGCTATCGATTTTTCCCCTGTTTGATGTTTGTATAACTATTTAATTTTCGCTTTCTTTTTCCCCTTATGTTTTCGTTATCTGGTAATAGTTCTGATAAACACATTATTTTGCTTCTACTTTGTTTTGTGTTACATGATACATTTGTGATTTCTAGTTTGCAAAATTGGGGGATTTATTTGTTAGATTTTGATTTTTTGTTTGAAACCATGAGATTTTCTTTGTTCGATGTTTGCTATCGATGTTCGATCTTCGCTGTTCGTTGTCTTAGTTATTCAGAAAAATCATTTTGCTTCTCCTTTTTTCTTTCTCTGGTAATATTTTTTATAAACACATTCTTTTACTTCTGTCCGATTATGCTTGTGCTGCTTTCACTTAAAATTGTATGATTCGTTCATGTCTGTGCTTTAGTCTAACGGGTAACTGTTTGCCTTCACGTCTATTAGACATTGGGGTTATTCTTCTCAGCAAATTGCTTGCCTTTCTAAATTTTCTTGCTTGGTAAAAATGATGTTATCTAATCCTTAAAATCCATCTAATAAACCTTCGGAAGTAGAGCTTTTTCGACTTATAGGTAGTTCTTCAATCATACTCTCATAGTTGTAATTAATAACTTAGTGCAAAGAACGAAAAGCTATAAGCATTCTGTTCTAGTTGTAAACTATTGAGGTCTTTTCTTTATAATTACGACCTAGGAACTTAACTTACCCATTTTCAATTACATATTTTTTGTCCAATTTTATTATGTTATTTGGTCACAGTATGTCCCAGAATAGTAGAACTTTCCTAGAACAGTGAATATCCAAACCTCTTTCTAACCTCAAGTCCTTAAACTATTATATGTACAGTAAACTTTTAAGCAAATGAAAGGGACTATGGATAGAAGACATGGAAACACCTCAATTACAAGCAAATGAGTAGACTGTTTCTAACATAATTATTGCTTCATGTCATGTAATAGCATAATAATTGCATTATGGTGAAAGCAAGTTCATCACAGAGTGATCCTATGAATCTTTTGGAGAATAGAGCTCCTTTGGAGTAAAGCAATGATGTTACAGTTAGAGATTAAGAATTAAATTGTCCCCTGTCCTTTATCTAAAAGAAACTTTTAAAGAGTTGAAGTTATCATGAATAAGTGTATTAGTATCTGTATGAATACGAGCGTATAGAAGTACAACTTGTCCACCCAAAAAAGGAAAAAAATTATATAACTAAAAATAGAAAGAAAAATAAATCTAGAAGTTCAAGTGCTCAACTGAAAGGATGGTTACTAGAAAGTTGATTCATTTTGCAGTTTCAGGTTCGCTAAGTAGTATCTGAGATAGTTTTAGATGCCTCATCTTATTTATGAAGACGATAATGTGCAGTAATTGTTTGAAAACTGTGACATGCATTTGGAAAATGAAGTGGTGATGTCCCTACTTGTCTTTGGTTGCCCCCTTCCTCATGTCTTTCCTCCTCTCTTGGACATCATCAAACCTTTGCCTTCTTATTTTTTCTCAGGGTGCTGCTCGCCAATTAGCTACACAGAGAAAGAATATAGAGGTCGTTGAATCTGTTGGTGTAGCAGGGAAATCTGATCCCGATAGGAAAGTCAAGTACTTCACACTGGAGGTAAGTGTGCTTTTTCCTTTCTCCCACAACATAGTATCTAGCTGCTTTTCTCGATGAGTGTTGAGTACAAAGGGCCAGTTAAATTTGCAAGCGAAACNTCATCCTCAGTTTCTTGTCCTGTCTGATGAGTGTTTAGAATTTGGTCTCAATACATCTTCTAAACAAGATTCTGCTCATTTATTAGAATTGGCATTTGTGACTTTATATTCATAAGGGTTATTAGATGTGCATGAGTGATAGTATATGGTATGGTATGTATATCGTTGTCTTAGAGTATATATTCAGATCCTGCTTGTTCTCTCTCTTTCTCTCTCTCTCTCTATCACACACACACACACACATATTGGATAGGCATGCATTAGGCAATAAGCTAGTTCCCTTTCTATGTTAAATGCTTAATTCTGGCAAATTTGTAGAAGAAACCAAAAAAGGTAGAAAACCAGAACTAGAAGTAGTAACTCATACAACTTAGAGTCGCCGGTTTAATGCAGCTCAATTGATTTTATTACATCTTCATACCTGCTGTTTAAATTAGATATACCAGATGAATATAGGTACTTAGACATATAAAAGGATACTGGCAGTTTGCTGGGAAAGAGATTAAGGAATCATAAGTTTGCCATACATATTATTTTGCTATACTTTGTACCTAAGATAATATCATATTAATTTGGAACCTAAAGAATAAGCCCCTATGTTTGCCCAGCAAAAAGCTTCGTGATATTATTAGGATTGCCACTTTACGGACAAGGCTTTCTGAACTTATAGGTTATTTGTTGATCGTTCAACCCAGAGAATTGTAGTTCTAAGAATACAGCTTCTAGTAGAGGGTAAAAAAGAAATGAACTTAACTACATCATCTTTCAGATGACACAAGACATATCAAGTTGTGCTTAAAAGCAAAGCTAACAGCAGAAGGTGCTTAAGCTATGTATATACACCTTTTTATATGTCAATTGTACATCTCCTTGTGTATGGAGACATTAATCAATTTCTGATGAAAAGCTAGGACAAACAGATATATTTATATGAATATCATTGATTCTGCCAACATCTCTTGAGAGCTATACCATTAGATGCATTTTTAAATAAAAATATTGATAAAGCTCCAGTACACCATTCTCAACTGTGAAATTAGTACATGTGTTTCTTCCACTTCTGTTTCCTTATCCACAATACATTTAAAAGTTTGATATGCAAAAGAGTTTGCCATAATCTTGACCTAGAATATATGACGTGTGTGTTTATGCCAGGGTTGTGAAAAGCGAGAAGCGAAGCGTAGCGACCCCTTACCCGCTTCTGTTATATGAAGCGACTCAGTTAGACAAAAGCGTGCGCTTCTTCTTCTTCAACAGAGATTCAGCGACAACAGGTATGCGATGATTTCTTCTTCCTTCTTCCTTCTTCCTTCTTCCTCCTCCTCCTTCTTCTTCTTCCAAATAGCACCGAAATGATGGCGAATTTTTTTTTACCTTCGGTTCTTCTTTCTAAGTCTTCTCCTCTTTATATAATGCTGATCTTCTAACATTCTTCTGCTGATCTTAATTTTCAAGTATTTGCATTATTTTTTATGGTACACACTGATAAGATTGTGGCACGTCATTAACTTAAAAAAATTCATTGTTCTTGCTAAATCTAATAGCCACTATTTGTTAAAATTTACTGGTGTGACATACACTGAGGGCTTGTGAGAAACTTTGTAAATCTAACCATGTTCAAGTATTGCTTGTTTCTGAGCCGTAGTATGTTCAGTTGTTGGTTGTAATGTTGTTTTTCGTAATAGCATATTCTGCTGTTTTTTTGGTTCAATAGCTGTCAGACTTAATATTGTTTAGGTGATGCTGTTTTGTGATGTAATAATGTTCAAAGATGTTAAGGCATATTGTATTACTTAAAAAAAAAAGACCGGAGAGTTGTTTTCTTTGGTTTGTATGTTGCGGATTCTGGTTTGCTGTGTGTTGCTTAAAGTACAGCTACTCATCTTGTGATTTGTGGATGGATCTTAGGTTCTGCATGAAAATTGTATCATGTTTTGAGCAGGTTGAAAATTTTGGGATAGTCGTATTTACAAATGATGTTTTGAGCAGGTTGAAAATTTTGGGATAGTCATATTTACAAAGAAACTCTGCCGAAAAATCAAAGAATTTAGAGAGTGAAAAATTTTTCGAGTTATCAAATTGGCCATTCAATTACTTTGTGATTCAATTATCCTAAAAATTTTGTTTAATTATTTTTCATTGTCTTTTGTAGGTGCAGCGATTGCGGATGAAAGTAGTGACGAAGACCTTACTTGAGTATTGTTGATCGTTGTTAAACTTTCTATTATTATGTTCAAGGATATTTTAGTTTAGAACTTTTTGTATGCAAACTCATTTATTTTGAATTGTTGATCAAACAATTTATTCATATTTTGTTTTTGTATATGGATAATGCTAGTTGGATGTTTTAATTTTATTTCGTGGTTTATATAAGTTATGGTGTAAATAATTTCTTAGAATAAGAAAATATTTCTCATTTTGCTTCCATAAATATCAGAAATTATAATTTGTTGCAATAGAGAATATAACCGTTCCAATAGACCTAGCAAATAATAAGAGCAGTCCCTAATAGCCGTTACAATATGTTATAATATCCGTTGCAATAAGTTACTGATAATTGTTCCAATATATTACAAACACCATTGCAATATATCATGAAAATCGTTGCAATAGACTTAAAAAATCGGCTGTATTATTATAATAGAACGGTTTATATCCGTTCCAACAGAAAAGAAAACCGTTCCTATAGATAGAACAATGGTAGCAGTCCAAACCGTTACAATATCCCTATATATGGAGATGGGTTTTAAACCGTTGCAAATAACCGTTCCGATAGGCCTATTGTAACGCTGAATCCCAGAATGCGTCCAAATCCGTCCCAATAGCCCTATAGGGACGGTTAGTGTATCTACGGCAATGGTTTTTGAAGGGTTGCCATAGCTGTAATTTCTAATAGTGTGTCTTGCTTAACCTCGAGTGGGGGAATTACCCCTTAGGCATTGACTCTTATGTGCCACTTGTGAAATGTAAAAAGCCGTGTACGCGAGGTGACGAGTACGTACTCGGGCTTATACGTGCAAAAATTTATTGAATTAAAGTCTTAGGCATTATTGTGTAGTAAATTGAGAAATTGTAAAAAATTATTAAATCATCTGTTTGCCATGCCTAAATCCTTATTGTTGAATTTGTTTTTATATGATAATTTGATGTGATTGTTACTTGAAATATTTATCAAATTTCGTGAGTATTGTTGGTTTAATATTTCTTGAAAATTTATTCCAATATGAATCTTCTTATGCAAATAATTAATTTAAGCGAGCTTAAGAATAAGTGTTAACATAATTATCTAAATTGGCATTAATGAAGGTTTTGCTTTATGCTGAGTAATTTCTATCTCTATTGATTGTTTTTGGGTGTTATATATATTGTGTGGAGCCTTGGGCTATTTGTTGTGAAATTAACTGATTTTGTTATATCTTTGGAATTTGGTTGTGGCCATTGGGCAAATTGTGATATGAAATGATTTTATTATGTTGTTGTGTTAATTTTCCGTATAAATTATTGTGTTGTGTGAGTTATTATTTTGGGGAGATAAGGGTGGCATTTCACCGTTGATATTATGTGGGGATAAGGGTGGCAATATGTGATTACCCAAAATATCATCTTTAAATTTAATAATTAATTCTGTATTCTATGACCTCGAAAAGTACTATTTATCATTACTCGACTTGCGTGCGTAGTCCGTAAAATTTTTCGGAAAGTTTTTATGCGAAAAATGAATTAAAATGTGTATTAGAGTTTTAAAACTTAACCGAGTTGACCTTGGTCAATATTTTTAGCAAACGGACTCGGATCAGTATTTTGACAGTTTCGGTAAGTCCATATTGTGATTTGGGACTTGGGCGTATGCCCGGAATCAAATTCCGAGGTCCCTAGCCCGAGATATGGAATTTTGAAGAAAAATTAAAAGTTTTAATTCAAGATGTCGAATTATGTGCAAACGACCCCGAAATAGAAGTTTGATGATTCCAACAGTTCCGTATGGTGATTTCGGACTTAGGAGCGTGATCGAAATTTTATTTTGGAAGTCCGTAGTGAAATTAGGCTTGAAATAGCTAAAATAGGAATTTAAGTTTGAAAGTTTGACCGGGTAGTTGACTTTTTGATATCGGGGTCGGAATCCAGTTCTGAAAATTTTAACAGCTTCGTTATGTCATTTATGACTTGTGTACAAAATTTGAGGTCAATCGGATTTGATTTGATAGGTTTCGACATCGAATATAGAAGTTGGAAATTCTTAAGATTTATTAGGCTTGAATCTATGTGTGATTCGTGTTTTTAGTGTTGTTGGATATTATTTGAAGACTCGACTAAGTTCGTATGATGATTTAGGACTTGTTGGTATTTTCGGATGGGGTCCCGAGTACTCCGAGTGCGATCCGGATCGAAATCGGATCAATTTTTGGACTTAGGCAAATTCTAAAATTTGCAGCTTCTGGTGTTATCGCACATGCGGAGGGACTTACCGGAGGTGCGGGCTCGCAGAAGCGGACGAAGGGCTGCCCAGTTGGAGCCGCAGATGCGGCTCATGTTGCGCAGAAGCGAGAGGAAGGGGCGCAAGTGCGGGCAGGTCCGCAGGTACGATTGAATTTTCCGCACCTGCGAAGGCGCAGATGCGGTCCAAAGCTCGCAGAAGCGAAGGCAACTGAGCTGAGCAATTTCTGCAGATGCAGTATTTCACCGCAGATGCGAGACCGCAGGTGCGAGAATTTTGTCTGCATGTGCGAAAGCACTGACCAGATTACAAAAACAGAGGGGTTCCGATATTTTTGTCATTTGGACATTTTCAACACAGTTTTGGGCGATTTTTCAGAGATAATTCACGGGGAAACTTGAGGTAAGTCACATGTGATCATTGTTAGTCAATTATATTGGATTATCATTGAATATTTCGAATAAATTACATGTTTTTGAGGTGAAATTAGAGGATTTGGTCCTAGGGATTTCAAAATGAGAATTTGAGATTTGGAGGTCAAGTTGATGTCAGATTTATGTAAAAATGGTATGGTTGGACTCGTAGTTGAATGGGCGTTCATATTTCGTAACTTTTGCCGGATTTCGAGATGTTCATTTTTGAGTTAATTTTGGATTTTATTGAAAAATATAGTATTTTCTTATGGAATTGATTCTATAATTTTTGTTGATTGTATCGAATTAATTATGACTAGATACGAGTCGATCGAAATCGAAAAATCGAGGAAAAAGCATACTACTTGGTTAAATTGGAGCAAGTCGAGGTAAGTGACTTGTCTAACCTTGTGTGGGGAAAATTTTCCCTAGAATTGATATTAATGTGATTATTGAAATGTGTTGAAAGTCGTGTACACGGGGTGAGGAGTGTGTACACGGGCTAAATGTGAAAGATTATATTTTTAAATTGTGTAGATCATTGTTGCGCATTTATTAAATTATTTTATCTTGTTATATTCTTCATTATTGATCTGAGATATATACCTTAAATTTGTTTGACCTTTTCCTGCTAATTGTTATATCTGTTTAGTTGAAACTTGATTTCTTTTATTCTGTGCATTATTTGAAGGGTGATTTTCTTTAAATTAAACATTATTAATACGAAGTATTTGATATTTTAAATTTGATATTGAAGCAACGTATTAAAGGTTTTGAAAAATTATTTTCCTGAATTATTTATCCTTGAATATTTTGTAAGATTTTTGTACTCATTGTGACGGAGCCGTGAGCTCTTTATTGTGAAAAAATATTGTTGTTGAATTATTTTAGCAAGTTTCATTATTTGAGCACTTGAGGTGCAAATTATGATATATTGTGATATTAATACGCATGCGGTGGCATAAGGTCTGGGTATTGAAACGCATACGGTGAGATAAGGGTGGCTTGATACACGTGGCTAGTAGTAGGAACTACTAGAAGTCATGCGGTGTGATAAGGATGGCTTAAACGCGGGATGCTATTTCGGAAAAAATATTTTCTTTCAAATAAATTGTGAAGGCTCCCGCGGTGAGATAAGGAATGAGATATTGTGAATTTATTTATGATTTGGGACTACGAGGCGGTACCTCGAGAGTGCCCTTGTTGATATTGATTTATGGCCGCAGTCGCCTTGATTATTTATTGTGATTTTCTTAAAGTTGAAAGGAAATTTGGTTTTGTTTCCACGAGATATTATTTGCCATTATTTTGCTTAATTAAATGGTGACACACTACTTGATTCATTTGAATGTCATTTTATTTTACTATATTGTTAAACATTTTACCATGGCATTATTATATTCCAGTAGGACCACACCTGACCTCGGCACTACTCTACCGAGGTTAGACTTGGCATTTACTGGGTACCGCTGTGGTGTAATCATACTATATTTCTGCACATCTTTTTGTGCAGATCCAGGTACATCTTACTAGTCTAGACGTCAGTGAGTTACCTGCGCACGGAGACTTCGAGGTATATCTGCCAGCGTCCGCAGACTCCGGAGTCCCCTTCTATCATTTTTATGTTGCTTCCTTATTTTTCTTTAGACCTTGATACATAGAGACATTGAGAATAAATTTTTAGAAGATTGTGACTTATTTCTATCTGGTTTTGGGAGTTGTAATTATTTGAATTGTAGTTTATTTATTTAAGATATTTATAATTATTCCGCATTGACAGGCTTACCTAGTCTTAGAGACTAGGTGCCATCACGACCTCCTACATAGAGAATTTGGGATCGTGACATAATAGGAGCGATAAGGGTGGCTATTGTCAGGGACGATATGTGATGATGTGGGGTTGTGGTGTTGATGATTTTTATGTGATGTTGTGATTTTTTTTGTGTTTATTTTTATGCCTTGTGCAATTGGTCTTGTTGATAGTAAATTGATAACAATATGTTTTATGTTGAAATTGAGAGCCTGTGGCTATTGCCAGGCAGATTATAAAATAAAATGTGAGCACGAGGTGCCGTGAGTAAATAATGAGGATATTTGGCATGTGAATTATCCGTGCAGCTGTGATATGAAATGTGGGCATGAGGCGCTGTGATGAAACGATAATGATAATTGACACGTAAATTGTCCGTACAGTTGTGATATGAATTGAGGGCATGAGGTGCCAGAGAAATATGATGATTTAATTATGGGCACGAAGTGCCGTGAAAATATGAAAATGGGCTGAGACCCGTGTTTAAGAAAAATATGAAAATGGGCTGAGACTCGTATTTCTATGATTATGAAATGAGGTGTCACATGATGA